TGAATGTTGTGCTCCTACTCCAGCTGAGGCACCGTTGGGACCTCTGAAGACAACTGGGACAGGCACCATGCCTGCAGACATGTAAAGTGTCTTGCCAGCAGAATTTATAACTTGATCAATTGCTTGCATGGAGAAGTTGAAGGTCATGAATTCACAAATCGGCCTCAACCCAGCCTGTTAAATTAAGACAGTTAAACTAGTGTTAACTACTAATATAGCTATCATAATAGCAAGGTATTTTGCATTTAACATTTTTCTGTTAAATGAATTAAACAGAGAAAACGGATCACACTTCAAAAAGTCAGAAGTTACTTACCATAGCAGCACCTACAGCAATTCCTGTAAAGCCCATCTTAAAAAGAAAAAGAAACTAAGGATGAGTATGACTTCCAAAAGACAGAGGAGGGGGTGGGAAGAGATTAAAACAATTCTAATTTATTCATACCTCTGATATAGGAGTATCTATTATTCTCTTGTCTCCGTATTTCTTCCAGAGACCTCTGCTAATCTGCAATTAGCAAAGAAAAATTGGGTTGCTAAAATTATAATTTCCAAATGTTACTTAATTAAGTTAATAAACAGGAGTCTACTCACCTTGTATGCACCATCATATTGGGCAACTTCCTCTCCCAACAAAAACACTCTCTCATCCCTCTCCAGCTCCTCATCTAATGCCTGATTCAAAGCATCACGGACGGTCACCTGATAAAGACGGGTTAACTGTTCAGTGCACGTATTTTACAGCATAAAAAACAAGTCTCCGGTGACAAGCTCCAGCTGCACTCGGCAGACATTGGCAGCAGTCACAGCTATCGAACTAGGAGTCTATATACATCCGAAGAAGTGGGCTGTAGCCCACGGAAGCTTATGCTCTAATACATTTGTTAGTCTCTAAAGTGCCACAAGTACTCCTGTTCGTTTTGTTTATTTAGACCGTGTCACAGCGCCTCAGACCAGTCACAGGCGGACTCGCCACCTGCCTGCCCCGGTGGGGACCCGGGCCCACCCCCTGCCAGCTCAGGGCACCGGGGCGAGCCCAGCCCGGGCAGCGGCGGTGTCCCGAGCGGGCAGCACCCAGAGCACGCCGGGGGGGGGGGGGGGGAGATGGGCGCCCCCCCCCATTCCGGCCCCACAGGCTCCGCCCCCCCCGGTCACGGCCCGTTCCCACCACCCAGCCCTCGAGCTTGGGCAGTTGCCCTGCCCTGCCCTGCCCCGCCCCCTCACCGGCGGGGTAGCTGCCCCGCCCCCCCCGCGCGCTCCGTGACCCCCCCCGCGCGCTCCGTGACCCCGTTACCTGGACGGCGGCCGGCGCGGACCCGTGAATCCCGCTGCGCAGCTGCAGCCGCCGCCCCAGGCCCTGCGGAGAGACGGGGACAAGCGTTAACACGGCGCCGGGGGAGCGTGAGGCGGGCGGGGGCAACCGGCCCGACCCTACCTGCTGGGGCCCGCATCGCACCAGCCTCCTCAGTGCCCCTGCGGCAGCCGCCATCTTGCCCCTGCCCTCTGGCTGTCGGCCCCATACGTCACTGCGTCACACCTTGTCTGTCCAATCAAAGCGGGGACCGCCCCCTCGCTGCCAGGCAGCCGGGCGCAGGGGGCGGAGCTACCCACTGTTATCGCGAGAAGAGACAGAAGCGGCCCTAGGGGTTGTCTTTGCCTCGCTTCCGCCCTTCCGTGCCTTGAGCGCGTTCAGCGAATCCGCGGGCCGAACGTCCTCTTGCCCGGCGAGTATGGTGAGCCGCTTGGACCAAAACTAGTACGGAGGCGCCATCCTTTACAGCTTTGCCTTCCCTGGAGGGCAGGCGCCCATGGAAGACTTGTCTCCAGCTGCTGCTGTCACTCAGACTTCGCTTGTTTGGCCTGACGTGGGCCATGCTGGGTGCTGCTTCCAGCTGCTCGTGGTTATGTTGGGAGGGGAGAGGGGGATTTCAGACTGGTGGGTGCAGGTGCTGCTGAAAATGAAGCTGGGGAAAGTTTGTTATTCTTGACCACGTAACAAAATTCCTGAGTCAATGTTTTTTGTTCAGAGGCGCCTGTGAAACGTAGCGGGGTTTCCGTAGCGTCAGGGATGGGCCTGTGAAAATCTGCCAATCTGCCCACCTTATAAGGCCTGGTCTACACTGGGGGGGGGGGAGGGACTACACAACTTCAGCTACGTTCGACGTACTTAGACCTAGTCACCGTGGTGTCTTCACTGCGGTGAGTCGACTGCTGCCGCTCCCCCGTCGATTCCACCTGCGCCTCTCGCAGCGGTGGAGTACAGGAGTCGACAGGAGAGCGCTCGGGGATCAATTTATTGCGTCTAGTCTAGACTCGATAAACGGACCCCCGCTGGATCAATCGCTGCCCGCCGATCCGGCGGGTAGTGTAGACATACCCTAAGCCTCTGTGGTTATGATAGGGGTTGCAGGTTGAAAAGGTGAGCTTGGCACTTGGAGTGGAAGGGACTGAGGTTTGCGATGGTCCTTACTGTCTGTGGGAGCTCGTTCCACACTCTGCTGGCTCTTGAGAAAGTGCACACGGGCTTCGTTCTTGTAGTAGTAGAACGTTCCATTAGCCTAAAGAAGCAGAGCGGCAGGCCACAGGTCTCACTCCAGAAGATGAGTGCGTCACAAGGCACTTGCAACCCACTGCCCAAAGTCCAGCTGGTACTGGGGAGACTCTGGTAGTTGCCTTGCACAGTTCTGGCTGTTGTGCTGTGTCACAGTGTTTGGGTGTGGTGTCAGACAGTGAAGTCACAAGATCCCAATACTTGCACCAACACACACTAATGGGGTTTCCAGACACCACCCTGGAGCCTAAAGTGGCTCCCCTGGGACTGGGCTCTGCGCAGCCAGGGTGTGTCTTCTGTGTCATACAGTGCCTATGCTGCTCCACTGGGATACCGTCTCCATGTGATATAGCCATGCTGGCCCCAGAGCTCCAAAAGTTAAGTTAATGAGATGGGATAGATCCATCGAAATGGGGCTGGATCTGTGTACCCAAAGCAGGGGTCAGACTGGAAAAATCAGTGCTGGCAACACTCTTTAGGTGGAGCCTATACAGGAAGGATGGGCTCCACCTAAACCAAAATGGAACCAGATTGCTGGCACTTAAAAAGGTCATAGAGCAGTTTTTAAACTAATGGCTGGCAGACACATAGATGAACATAATTTGTTGGGGAAGAGTCAACATGCTTTATGTAAAGGGAAATCATGCCTCACCAATCTACTAGAATTCTTTGAGGGGGGTCAACGAGCATGTGGACAAGGGGGATCCAGTGGATATAGTGTACTAAGATATTCAGAAAGCCTTTGACAAGGTCCATCACCAAAGGCTCTTAAGCAAAGTAAGCTGTCATGGGATAAGAGGATCCTCTCATGGATTGGTAACTGGTTAAAAGATAGGAAACAAAGCATAAGAATAAATGATCAGTTTTCAGAATGGAGAGAGATAAATAGTGGTGTCCCTCAGGGGTCTGTTCTGGGACCAGTCCTATTCAACATATTCATAAATGGTCTGGAAAAAGGGGTAAACAGTGAGATGGCAAAATTTGCAGACAATACAAAATTACTAAAGATAGTTAGGACCCCGGCAGACCGCAAAGAGCTACAAAAGGATCTCACAAACTGGGTGACTGGGCAACAAAATGGCAGATGAAAGTCAATGTTGATAAATGCAAAGTAATGCACATTGGAAAACATAATCCCATCTATCCATATAAAATGATGGGGTCTAAATTAGCTGTTACCCCTGAAGAAAGAGATCTTGGAGTCATTGTGGATAGTTCTCTGAAAACATCCACTCAATGTGCAGCGGCAATCAAAAAAGCAAACAGAATGTTGGGAGTCATTAAGAAAGGGCTAGATCAGGGGTAGGCAACCTATGGCACGCGTGCCAAAGGCGGCACGTGAGCTGATTTTCAGTGGCACTCACACTGCCCGGGTCCTGGCCACCGGTCCGGGGGGCTCTGCATTTTAATTTAATTTTAAATGAAGCTTCTTAAACATTTTAAAAACCTTATTTACTTTACATACAACAATAGTTTAGTTATATATTATAGACTTATAGAAAGAGACCTTCTAAAAACGTTAAAATGTATTACTGGCACGCGAAACCTTAAATTGGAGTGAATAAATGAAGACTCGGCACACCACTTCTGAAAGGTTGCCCACCCCTGGGCTAGATAATAAGACAGAGTATATCATATCGCTGCTATATAAATCCATGCACATCCTGAATACTGAATGCAAATGAGTCAATCTGTCTCAAAAAAGATGTATTGGAATTGGAAAAGGTTCAGAAAAGGGCAACAAAACTGATTAGGGGTATGGAACAGCTTCCGTATGAGGAGAGATGAATACAACTGGGACTTTTCAGCTTGGAAAAGAGATGACTAAGCATGGATATGATTGAAATCTATAAACTCATGACTGGTATGGAGAAAGTAAATAAGTGTTCTTTACTTGTTCTGATAACACAAGAACTAGGGGTCACCAAATGAAATCATTAGGCAGCAGGTTTAAACCCCACAAAAGGAAGTCTTTCTTCACACAGTGCGCAGTCAACCTGTGGAACTCCTTGCCAGAGGATGTTTAGCAGAACCCCAGTGGTGTTGTACGAATTACTGCACCTCGGACGTATCCCTACACAAGCCATAGGTGCTGGCACTAGGGTGTGGGGGCGCTGCACCCCCGGTTTGAAGTGGTCTCCATCAGACACAGGGTTCCCAGTTCGGTTCAAGGGCTCTCAGCACCCGGCTACACACAGGTGGAGTGCGCAGGCGGCACTCGCTGCCCAGCCGCTCTGCGGGGGATTTAGTGGGAACTGGAGGAGAAGGAATTCGAGGGGGGCAGTGGGGGCGCAGCGCACCCCCCCCCCCGCCCCCCGCCCGGCTGCCGCACCCCAGACAGGCGCCCCCGGCCCCCGCCCTGGCCAGCCCGGCGCTTGGCGGCGCGGGCGCGGGTGGGAGGAGCCCGGGCGCGGGGCGGGGCCGGGGGCGGAGTCAGGGGCGCGCGGCAGGAACGCCGGGCTCGCGCTCAGTTGTCCCCGCTGCTGTCGCCGGCCTCTCCACAGCCCGGGAGCCGCGAGCGCAGCCGGTGAGTGGGGGCCGGACGCCTGGGTCCCGTTCCCGGCGCGGGGACGGGGGGGAGGGGCCGGACGCCTGGGTCCCGTTCCCGGCGCGGGGACCCGAGGGAGGGGCCGGACGCCTGGGTCCCGTTCCCGGCGCGGGGACCCGAGGGAGGGGCCGGACGCCTGGGTCCTGCTCGTTCCCCTCCCCGTGTCTCAGCCCGCCCCGCTCCCCGGGGCCGCGGGGTGCAGCCGGGCCGGGGGGGCCCCAGGGCGGAGGGGTGTTTTGGGGTCCGTGTCGTGACCCGCCAGCTGGGTGCGGGGGCCGGGTTCTCACGCAGCTCCCGGAGCGTGGGACCGGTGCAGTCCCGGGGCCAGGTGTCGGCTCTACCCCGGGGGCTCATCCCTGCGAGCCGCCGGAGGAAAAGCTCCCGCCTACATCCCTGGGCAGTCCGGGTCTCATGGGGAGCCAGGGGACCCCCTGGTGTGAACCGCTCCTGGCACGGTCGGGAGCCCCTCGCCCCAGTCTAGCGGAGTGGCCGGGCACATTTCCCTTTACACGCTGGCTCGTCCCCTACGCATCGGGTTCAGCTGTGTCTGATATTTCTGTTCTTTACTATGCTTTCAATCAGTTTGCCACCTCCTGATTCAGGATTACCGGCCTGTAATTGTCAGGATCGCCTCTGGAGCCTCTTATAAAAATTGGCCTCACATTAGCTATCCTCCAGTCATTTGGTACAGAAGCTGATTTAAATGAGAGGTTACAAACCACAGTTAGTAGTTCTGCAATTTCACATTTGAGTTCCTTCAGCAATCTTGGGTGAATCCACCGTCTGGTCCTGGTGATTTATTACTGTTCAGTTTATCAATTTGTTCCAAAACATCCCCTGACACCTTTTAAAATGGAAAATTTTATAGCTAAAAGAAAAGGTCTGAACTATGTGTGTTTTTTGTTTTGTTTTGTTTTTGACAAAAATTGTTTGATAAAGCTCTCCCCCTTAAGAGTTGAGGATGCTATAAATGATAATAAAACAACTAAGCATGCAGAGATGAAAACATTAAGACCACCTATTGTGTGTGAATTTTGTTTTCTTGTTTAAAGTTAAAGAGTAATATTTATTGTCTGTAACCTATTGTAGAAAAAAATTGGTTCTGGAAATGTATAAACCATGATTCATTGTGGAGTAAAGCAAAACAGCCGAGTTACAACCCTTGAACAGGGTTGTATTAAGGAAAAAGTCAAGTCATAAATATTTTAGTTAAGAATAATGCTGTGCTATGATTACATTTCTGTTGTATTTGCAAATGCAAGCACCTTGTTGTGCCAGCTTCGTTTCTTTTAACGCAAGTGACTGCCTTAAACGTCTTCCATCCATTTTCTATGAAAATATTATCTTTCAAACTCTGTGCACAGCTGAGGAGAAGAGAGATTCAGTACAAATGTAACTACCTATACTTGAAGCTAGGACATTTGTTTCATCTATATATGTGTGAATGCCAGAGACAGTGACCTATCTTAAGTGGCTCTCTGGGAGCAGCTTGAATAGCGAAATGTATGTAACTGTGTAGTGGGAGTGCTAGCTTTGCAACCTTTGAGATGAGCTCTGCAACAGTCTTTAAGATGTCTATAAATTCATGAATGATCTAGAAAGCCAAGATACCTATTGAAGGCACACAGCCAGGGTTAATATTTTGATACTGGAGTAACCATTAAAGACGAACTAGGAGTGACTTTTAGTTGATTTATTGGAGAGAAATGATTAAGCTGTAGGCTCTAAAGCAGTTGTCTGCGGACAGTTGGTCTGCAAACAGCTGGCAGGTCACATGGTGCTGGCTGTCCTCTAGTCTAGCTGCTAAATTGCAGGAAAAGATAACTAAAAATAAGGAACGGTTTCCTAACATTGTATTATTGGGGTGAGGTTGGAGCATGGTACACTCCCTTCTAAAATAGGGTCCACACAGTGAAAAGCTTAAGAACCCCATTGGGTTAAATCTCTTCCAATCTGGCTTGAACCTTCGTCCACAGTGTGGATAGTGCAGATGAGAATGCTCAGATGGCTCTGATTATAATTTGTACTCTGAGCCTGCGTTGTGTCTTTCTTTCCCTTCTCTCTCCACCCCCCCCCCCCAAGCTCCATTGAAGTAATGGGACTAATGACTGTAATAAGCACTATGCCTGATAGTAAGGTAGCATAGTAGATCTCTAGAGTCATGAAATATTAAACAACAATTTTTTCAGAAGCTGCACTGATATAAATGGGATCACACTGATTTGATATACTGGGATCATTGATCATTCATCATCAGATGGCCACTTATCATCAGTCACTTGCTTTCTACTGTTCATTTGATTTTTTTTTTCTCAATTGCTGAGGTAAAATGGCAAGCGTGCTTAACTGTTCTAGTGCTGTGTATCTTGCCCAAAAAAGCTTATTGAGGACAGTTTTCTTTAGCTGCCCTAAAATCAGCCTCAAAATGATGGCACTCAATTAACCTTTTATTATGTGGTCAACATTCTGCATAGAGTGGGGGAAATGGCTGTGGGCTAAATAGGGCTTAAGTGGAGTCTTATGCTAGGTTGCTGATTTTAACCCCGAGAGAGCATTCATTCTCTTTAGTTGCAGATAACTTATCTTAAAAGATTCTGTGGTTAAATCCCTTTATCTAAAATAATTCAATGCATTGAAAGGCAGAGCTGTCAAAAGCTTCCCTCGCCATTCTAGTCTGCCTCTAGATATTCATTATGCTTGAGTCGTACCTGACCAGAATAAATAATCGCTATACATGGAGTTGCCTAAAAGAGCAACCTAGAAACTTCCAGGCTAATGGCTAATGCTGATGAGGAAAGTTAATTGTTTCTAAAGCACGTGGCATTTTAACTTATGATGTGATGCAGTTTTAATGCTGCTATTGAGTATTTCTAATGTGCTCCTCATTTTAATATTATCTTTGCCTAAGTAGATTTCTGTATGTCTACTGACTTTCAAATCCTACACAAAATCAATGCAGCTTATTGAATGCCCTTTATTTATTTAATTATTTATTTATTGACACGTGGGCTTGTCTGAGCGAAGTGCTTTCATAAATTATTCACCCTGGTGTTACATAGCAGTGCTGTGATCAAGTGAAGCCTTTTGCTATGGTACAGACAGGAAGATGTAATCTATTTCTTTCCCTTTATGATCATCCAAAAGGGTAGCTTTTGCTTGATTTATCAATGCCAAGGGTTGGAAGGTTGCAGTTGACTGCCATCAGTTACATAATGGAAATTTGAAAAAGAAAATCTCTTATATCGGTGAGCATGTACTGTCTTATTCTTCCTTTTTAAAATGTTACTGCTGCTTCACACCTACTTTGCAGACAGGAGGATCTCTTTTCCCATTGTTTGCTGTGCAGTTTAAGTAGCCAGCTGTCCTTGATGCTCACTGTTCACAGAATATCAGGGTTGGAAGGGACTTCAGGAGGTATCTAGTCCAACCCCCTGCTCAAAGCAGGACCAATCCCCAACTAAATCATCCCAGCAGGGCTTCATCAAGCCGGACTTTAAAAACCTCTAAGGAAGGAGATTCCACCACCTCCCTAGGTAACCTATTCCAGTGCTTCACTACTCTCCTAGTGAAAAAGTTTTTCCTAATATCCAACCTAAACCTCCCCCACTGCAACTTGAGACCATTACTCCTTGTTCTGTCATCTGCTACCACTGAGAACAGTCTAGATCCATCTTCTTTGGAATTCCCTTCAGGTAGTTGAAGGCTGCTATCAAATCCCCCCTCATTCTTCTCTTCTGCAGACTAAATAAGCCCAGTTCCCTCAGCCTCTCCTCATGAGTCATGTGCCCCGGCCCCCTAATCATTTTCGTTGCCCTCCGCTGGACTCTCTCTAATTTATCAACATCCTTTCTGTAGTGGGGGGGCCCAAAACTGGATGCAATATTCCAGATGTGGCCTCACCAATGCCAAATAGAGGGGAATGATCACTTCCCTCGATCTGCTAGAAATGCTCCTACTAATGCAGTCCAAAATGCCATTAGCCTTCTTGGCAACAAGGGCACACTGTTGACTCATATCCAGCTTCTCATCCACTGTAACCCCCTAGGTCCTTTTCTGCAGAACTGCTGCCTAGCCAGTTGGTCCCTAGTCTGTAGTAGTGCATGGGATTCTTCCATCCCAAGTGCAGGACTCTGCACTTTAAATTTAAATTAATGGAGATATCCTATCTCCTAGAACTGGAAGGGACCTTGAAAGGTCATTGAGTCAGCCCCCTGCCTTCACTAGCAGGACCAAGTACTGATTTTGCCCCAGATCCCTAAGTGGCCCCCTCAAGGATTGAACTCACAACCCTGGGTTTAGCAGGCCAATGCTCAAACCACTGAGCTATCCCTCCCCATTGTTGAACCTCATCATATTTCTTTTGGCCCAATCCTCTAACTTGTCTAGGTCCCTCTGTATCCTATCCCTACCCTCCAGCGTATCTACCACTCCTCCCAGTTTAGTGTCATCTGAAAACTTGCTGAGGGTGCAGTCCACGCCATCCTCCAGATCATCAATGAAGATATTGAACAAAACCGGCCCCAGGACCGACCCTTGGGGCACTCCGCTTGAAACCGGCTGCCAACTAGACATGGAGCCATTGATCACTACCCGTTAAGCCCGACGATCTAGCCAGCTTTCTATCCACCTTATAGTCCATTCATCCAGCCCATACTTCTTTAACTTGCCAGCAAGAATACTGTGGGAGACCGTATCAAAAGCTTTGCTAAAGTCAAGGAATAACACCTCCACTGCTTTCCGCTCATCCACAGAGCCAGTTATCTCATCATAGAAGGCAATTAGGTTAGTCAGGCATGACTTGCCCTTGGTGAATCCATGCTGACTGTTCCTGATCACTTTCCTCTCCTCTAAGTGCTTCAGAATTGATTCCTTGAGGACCTGCTCCATGATTTTTCCAGGGACTGAGGTGAGGCTGACTGGCCTGTAGTTCCCCGGATCCTCCTTCTTCCCTTTTTTATAGATGGGCACTACATTAGCCTTTTTCCAGTCATCCGGGACCTCTCCCGATCACCATGAGTTTTCAAAGATAATGGCCAATGGCTCTGCAGTCACATCCGCCAACTCCTTTAGCACCCTTGGATGCAGCGCATCCGGCCCCAGGGACTTGTGCTCATCCAGCTTTTCTAAATAGTCCTGAACCACTTCTTTCTCCACAGAGGGCTGGTCACCTCCTCCCCATGCTGTGCTGCCCAGTGCAGGTCTGGGAGCTGGCCTTGTTTGTGAAGACAAAGGTAAAAAAACCATTGAGTACATTAGCTTTTTCCACATCCTCTGTCACTAGGTTGCCTCCCTGATTCAGTAAGGGGCCCACACTTTCCTTGACTTTCTTCTTGTTGCTAACATACCTGAAGAAACCCTTCTTGTTACTCTTAACATCTCTTGCTAGCTGCAACTCCAAGTGTGATTTGGCCTTCCTGATTTCACTCCTGCATGCCTGAACAATATTTTGATACTCCTCCCTGGTCAATTGTCCAATCTTCCACTTCTTGTAAGCTTCTTTTTTGCGTTTAAGATCAGCAAGGATTTCACTCTTAAGCCAAGCTGGTCGCTTGCCATATTTGCTGTTCTTTCTACACATCGGGATGGTTTGTTCCTGCAACCTCAATAAGGATTCTTTAAAATACAGCCAGCTCTCCTGGACTCCTTTCCCCCTCATGTTATTCTCCCAGGGGATCCTGCCCACCAGTTCCCTGAGGAAGTCAAAGTCTGCTTTTCTGAAGTCCAGGGTCCGTATTCTGCTGCTCTCCTTTCTTCCTTGTGTCAGGATCCTGAACTCGACCATCTCATGGTCACTGCCTCCCAGGTTCCCATCCACTTTTACTTCCCCTACTAATTCTCCCCTGTTTGTGAGCAGCAGGTCTAGAAGAGCTCTGCCCCTAGTTGGTTCCTCCAGCACTTGCACCAGGAAATTGTCCCCTACACTTTCCAAAAACTTCCTGGATTGTCTGTGTACTGCTGTATTGCTCTCCCAGCAGATATCAGGGTGATTGAAGTCCCCCATGAGAACCAGGGCCTGTGATTTAGTAACTTCTGTTAGTTGCCGGAAGAAAGCCTTGTCCACCTCATCCCCCTGGTCTGGTGGTCTATAGCAGACTCCCACCACGACATCACCCTTGTTGCTCACACTTCTAAACTTAATCCAGAGACTCTCAGGTTTTTCTGCAGTTTCATACTGGAGCTTTGAGCAGTCATGCTGTTCTCTTACATACAATGCAACTCCCCCACCTTTTCTGCCCTGCCTGTCCTTCCTGAACAGTTTATATCCATCCATGACAGTACTCCAGTCATGTGAGTTATCCCACCAAGTCTCTGTTATTCCAATCACATCATAATTCCTTGACTGTGCCAGGACTTCCAGTTCTCCCTGCTTGTTTCCCAGGCTTCTTGCACTTGTGTCTAGGCACTTAAGATACCTCGTCCTGCTTTCTCAGTATGAGGCAGGAGTCCTCCCCTCTTGCGCTCTCCTCCCGGTATCTCACTTCCCCACTTACCTCAGGGCTTTGGTCTCCTTCCCCCGGTGAACTTAGTTTAAAGCCCTCCTCACTAGGTTAGCCAGCCTGCTGCTTGTTACCACAAGTCTGAGTGCTGCTCCAGTGTTGTTATGGGGAATTTATCAGAAACCCTCCCCGCTCTTTCTCCCTGTTGTAATGCAGCTGTGTGTTGCACTTTGTGCTCAGGTTGAAGATTCTTAAAAGCAAATACAAGCTGCGAAGTCTTGTTTTCTTGACCACTAATTCCTTTACTGTTGATGAAATGAATTCTAGTATATGGCAGTCGAGCTGGTGTTCTAAGGTTGTTCCCACCTTCTAGGTCAGCATTCATTTGCTACTACACTGCTCTGAGGTGCTCTCCACCTCATGGGACTCCAATGTGATTAGTCGTATTTAACTGGGTTGCTTTTCATAATTTGCAAAAAGTGCCTGTGGCGGAGCTAGTACCTCATCGGCCCCTTAGGTCAGGGGAGTGGGAGGTAGCACAGACTCTCTACACCTAAGTCCATGTTCTAAACCCTTCTGTAGTTTGCACAGGGTGGCCCAATGGCCTGAGTCCATCTACTTCCCCTTGCCGATTGGGGTAGTGCAGCCTAGCGGTGGGGTCCATACAATGTGCCCCTAGGGCAGTGCAGCCCAATGGCCAGAGTCCACCTAATTCCTCTCCCCTAGTGGGGGAATGCGGCCTAGCGGCCGGAGTTCATATAACTCACTGTGTGGGGCCAGCTCCTCTCAAAGGAGGGTGGCCCAGGTAGGGGGACCCGGGCCCACCCACTCCACTGGGTCCTGACCCAGGGCCCTGCTAGTGGCGAGTTCTCTTCACCAGTGGTCTGGCAGGGATCTTCCCAAAACACGCCGGCCCGAACGGTTTCAGCACCATTTCCCTTTAAGAACTCCCTGGGTCATTTCCTACCATATTCTCAGATTCAGCCAGGTCCGTGGCATCCTAACTTCCCCTCTGCAGTGCGGCTGGACGTGTCTGGCCTCTGCGTCTCATGGTGCAAGCCTCTCTTCTGCTGGAGAGAGCAACGAGCCTCCTTCCCCTCCAGTGGTCCACCCTGACTGAGCAGCTCTGCAAGCTTTTATATCTGACTTCCAGGTGGAGCATGCCCAGGTGTGGCTTCCTCTGCTAGGAGGGAAGGATTAACCCCCGCTGAACCAGTGCGGGGCCAATCCCCCCCGTCATAGTGCCGGATTGGACACTGAAGTTCTTTCATTCTGAGATGCAGTGCGTGCTGTGGCTATATCACAGTTCTCCAAGTGCCTGGCTGACCTTTTGAGAGAGCCATTGTGCTCTGCTACTGGGCCTATTTGGAGCAGAAGGCATTGAACTATTCCACATTCTTCTGAAGTGGGTGATATGGACCCCCTGTTTGCTAGGGACTAAAAAGAAGAGCAAATTCTTTTTAGGTCTGAGTTTGAAGAGGTACAGAGGAATGTAGGGCTTTGTCTCAGCCAAAGCTTTGTGATTTCATTTGCTGGGTGATCATCGATTGGAGTGCTGTAAGGAGACTGAATACTGCAGCCGATCTTATTTGCCAACAACAGGGCTTGTAAAACATGTCTGTATGTATTTGTTTTTAAAGAGCTCTCCTAGGATTATTTTTGTACCAAACTGCTTATAGATTATAGATTTTTAAGGCCAGAAGGGATCTCCTGCATAACCCAGGCCGTAGGCTTTCACCCATCATTCCTGGAGTGGAGGGAGTCACTTCCCTGGCTGTGTGAGTGAACGCTCTTGAGGATATCTCTTAGAAAGTTATGGGCACAACTTTTTTTTTCAAACCATTCTTGTTGGAATATTGTTGAAAATGTATTCTGATTTCTTTATAAAAATGCACTGAAAAGCAAACTGCTTTGCAAGTTTCTATGGCAGCTGTGAAATCAGCTTGGGCTCTGGTTTCACACTTTGTGGTTCACACTCTTGCAGCCAAGTTGCAGTCCCCTCTAATGAAGCGTTAACTCCAGTGAGAATCTCACTGTTTTTTTTTTTTTTTTTTTAAACACAGTGACTCGTGGGTTTCAGTACAATTTTATGCAGAATTACTGATTAATACCATTGAAATTATAATTATATACGTGTGTATCTATACACACACACACACCCCACTAATCTATCTCTTGTGGCTGAAAGTCCATCTCAATAGGTGGGTAAATAAAATTTCTGATTTATGTAACTGGGACTACTTATTAAACCATATCTCCTTTTCCCAAGTGAAATATGTGGTTGTCTCCTGAGTATAAATCATCTTCAAAGACAGACTCGTTGTTTAATAAAACTGGAATGCTTAGGACAGCCTACAAAGTGATTACCAGTTGCTTCTAGAGACAGCAGTCTGAGTAACTGTGAAGGATACGCTGGAAGATCATATAGGGAAGTCCTCCTTTGTTAGATGCCTGTACTGTAGTGGCTTTGTAGTTGAATGCAAGAGACCGGTTTATGGCACAAGCCTGTCTTTGATAAGAAATATTCTGCTCTGTTCTTGTAAGTACTTACAGTCTGCCACATTTTTTTTTCCCAACCTGCAGGGGGGAATAGGAGGTGAATTGTGTGTCCTCCTAGCAGCCTTCAATTAAACTCAGACTGCCATAGATCAAACAACAGAACAGATGGATAATGGAGACTGGGGATATATGGTAAGTGATCCAATATTAAGATGAATGCATGCTGAAAAATAGAATTGGGCTTTCCAGATTTTTATGTCGAATCTCTTGGCCTTGTGTATATACCCAGGGTTTAATGTTGAGTGAAGACAATTGAACATAGTAAAAATAATATAAGCAAATAGGTTTGTTTTTAATAAGTGTTTCATTTCATATTGTGTGTTGGGACAGTTCATGTTCTTAATCTTCAACCAAATAGTAGTAGTAATTTAACACAACAGCAAGAAAAGGGTTACATTTCTCCTAAAAAGATACAATTTGATGATGGTCTAGAAAGCCACCTTTCTGGTACACAAAGTTGAAAAAAATATGTTCTCCCTTCCTGTTCCTTTAATTACTCTGCTGTCATTTTATTTGGAAAAATATTCTTGCTTCTTCAACTTCATCTTTTATAACAAAACTAGACACACACCTCTTATTTTTCCTTCTCATCTCTTTCTCTAAACATCCTGTTCCCTTTTGTCTGTCTGCCTATCCGGCTGGCCCTCTGCCCTGATTGTGAGAATCAGTGCCCAGGATGGTGCCCTATCCTCTTTCTCCCCTGCCCTTTTAGGTGTGATCTGGATGCTGTAGCTGCAGGCTAGCTCTACTACTCTGGACCCTCCTCTACGCAGCATACTGTTTGCCTGATAGAGTTTTCTTTATGCTGTCCCCTAGCTGCACCTTTGAATGGAAGCTCTTGGTCCTAGATCTAAAATTACATTATGTCCTTTCATTTTTTCTGGGAAGAGGTTTTGTACCTACTCAGCTAGCTCCTTCTCGAGTAAGAGGGATATTGTGAAAGCAAGGAGCCAGAGGTGAAATTCTGACTCGTACCTTGGGGAAATCACTTACGCTGTGCATCAGTCTCTTCATCTGTAAAATGGAGAAAATATTTACTTTGCAGAGGATGAAATAGTTATTTGACATTGAGCTCTGGGCTTTAGTTAATACTTTATAGAGCACTTTGAAGATATGCTTTCTAAATTTCCAGGTGTGGATTATGGCTTGGTTTCTTGAACTTATTCCTGTATAACCCCATTGGTAGGTTTCAAACTGAACAGTTGCAATTCTTTCTAGGGCTGGCAGCTTTCCGACAGCAACTGCCACATGTTGGCGATAAGAAATCTCTCATGGTAGTTTGATAAACTCTGGAATTTCTTTTTTTCTAGATGACTGATCCAGTCACAATAAATGTGGGTGGACACTTGTATACAACATCCCTCACCACTCTAACAAGATATCCCGATTCAATGCTTGGGGCCATGTTCGGGGGAGACTTCCCCACTGCCAGGGACTCTCAGGGCAATTACTTCATTGACCGAGATGGACCACTTTTCCGGTATGTTCTTAACTTTTTAAGGACTTCAGAGTTGACTTTGCCACTGGACTTCAAGGAATTTGACTTGCTTCGAAAAGAAGCAGATTTTTATCAAATTGAACCCCTAATCCAATGTCTTAATGACCCCAAGCCTTTGTATCCTGTGGATACCTTTGAGGAAGTAGTGGAGTTGTCCAGCACACGGAAACTTTCCAAATATTCCAATCCAGTGGCAGTAATCATAACGCAGTTAACCATCACAACTAAGGTCCATTCATTACTGGAAGGCATTTCAAACCACTTTACCAAGTGGAATAAGCACATGATGGACACCAGAGACTGCCAAGTTTCCTTTACTTTTGGGCCATGTGATTACCACCAGGAAGTTTCCCTCAGAGTCCATCTGATGGAGTACATTACAAAACAAGGTTTCAGTATCAGAAATACAAGAGTTCACCATATGAGCGAGCGGGCCAATGAAAATACAGTGGAGCACAACTGGACTTTCTGTAGACTGGCACGGAAAACGGATGACTGATGTATGACTCCACAGATGCCATTTCAGTGGTTACATGCAACTTCCTGGAACAGCATACCTGAGAGAATCTGGTTTTGACTAAAGCAACAGCATGGGCTTTTTTTATGAGACTATTTATTAATAACCATTAAGGACTGGAGAAGTTACATGCTCTAGGAGATCTGTTTTTTGTCTTGTCCAGAAAAAGATATGCATGTGCTTGTTCACACTGTTAAGACACTTTTTTAAAGAGGGAGTCTTAAAAATCAGTATGGTAGGAAATTTTATGTCCGCTCTTTCAACCTAAAGTGCTAAATTCACCTATTTAAATGGTCTGTAATCCATTTAATGCTAAAACACTGGGAGTAAAGAACAAACAGGATTTAAGATGCAGATGGGGGAAGTGCTAGCATCATGTAAACTAACCTAGTTTCTAAATCAATAAACAGTATTGTAATATTTTAGGAAAACAAATCCTACCCTTTTAAAGTACTTGTTAAGTACGGCTTTTTACAGTTATTACAACTGTTTTTCTATGCATATAAATCAAGCAACCAAATATTATCTGTAGCCATGAAAATGTGATTAGAAATATTTATACTGGATTCTGAATGCAAAATATCCCTGTGGTAGAATTCATATTTTTAATGCCTGGTGAAATATTATTCCCAAGTGTAATGCCTGCCAGCTAGAAGCTAATAAAATGTCAAATATGGAAATAAGTCTTGTATTTTTTGTCTTCTCCTACTAATTTATTCTAGGAAAAAGGGGGGAGTAAGGTATATCAGTACAAGAAAGTGAAACTGGCCAAGCTCCTACTTTCCCTATTCTGGTGCATAAGAATATTAGCTCACTCTTAACATTCAACTTAATGGGCTTTGTAGCCTCATATTTCCATAGGGATAATTTCCATATTGAAAATTCAGAGGGGAAGTTATATATTTTGACTAATGGGAAGTTGGAAAGGACTAATGCCAGTTAAAAGATGCTAATCCAGGGTACATCTAGAGTCTGGATAACTATAACCTGGTGGGAAACATTATCCGGTTTCATATTCATCAAATCAATTGCCAGCACGTCTCAGAGCTCTCATCACCCTGCGCAGGGCTGCTTTTGTTGAAGTGATGGGACTCTGGCTCCGCATTCTTATCTGCCAATTCCCTAGACACTTCTCCTGCCTCTTTTATGCATTCTGTAGAATTATTCATAAAAGATGCTAACAAACAGGAATCAAAGTTAGAAGACACTGAAATAAATAAACTTGATATCTGCTTTGAGTGACTAGGCCAGTGCAATTCTGCTTACTCCTCTTTCTAGGTTGTAATGTTTCTGTCTGCCTTAAATAAATCACAATCATCTCTAGGTATACAAACGTCCTATTCACCTGGTCTAACTGATCTGGCCAGTATGGACCCCAGCATCCCGAGTGTGGTCCGAGAGAGCCTGGGCTTTGCTGCCTGGGCTACCACTTCAGCAGCTTTTTGGTTGGGCTTAAGGTATGTCTACACTGCAATAAAATACCCACGGCTGGTCCATGTCAGCTGACTCACAGAGCTCGGGCTGTGGGGCTACAAAATTGCAGTGTAGATGTCCATGCTTGGGCTCTAGGACTCTGCAAAGGGAGGGAGTCCAGGAACCCAGGCTGAGCCAGAACGTCTACTATGCTCCCACAAACCCAGGTCAGCTGACATGGGGCAGTCACAGGTGTTTTATTGCAATGTAAATCTACCCTTAGAGTTCAAGGAATTGGCAGTGGGTATGCACTGCTTATTCAGGTTGGCTCATTCACAATTCTTTGACCATGGAGACCTTTCTCAGCGCCATGTTTTTCTTTGGTCATATCTTCACCTCCCTTTTTATTGGTGCTAAGGGGATGGGTTTTTTGGTTTTGTTTGTGAGCATTACGTGATTTTTATTTTATTCAAATAGGAAAAGGCTGCTCTTAGGTCAAACCGAGGAAGCTCCAGTAAGCTGCTTCTGTTTCTTGCCAAGCGAGACCCAATATATGACCCCTGTAAAATAGTTTGTTTGCAACAGTACAAGATAATCCTAAAATAAGTACTCACAACATTTCTTCATTTATTTGCAATGTAATGCTTGGTTTAATCACCGAATAGAAGACATCTGTCCTTTTTACTTGAGCACCACTGACCCATTTAATAAGCAAACCCTAAATCACACACCCCTATTGGAGGCTGAAGTTTACAGAAAGGGTATCGGCAGCTTTCATCATCATAGATCACTTTCACAAGTTGAAGCTGGCACATACTGTGTGAGTTTTGACTGGTTATTTAAGTGCAGATAGTGCTCACCGCTCAACAAGATACAAGAAGGAATTCTGTCCCCTGTCCCAAAGAGTTTACATTTTAACAGAGCTTTTAATCTAAGCACTCACTGCAGGGTTAATGAAATCCTTACCACTTTGCTGGGGCCGAATGGGGGAAAACATAATTTCATATTTGCAGTTGGGTATTTACTGTCGTGTGAAGAAACCTGGTGATTTAGGAACTAACGTTCCTGGTTTTTGAGAGAGATTATTGGCCAATATTCCTTAATTTAGAACCTCTGGCTGTGACTTTACATTTCTTTTGTTAACTTAAGTTCCTTGATTCTGTGCAAGGCATTTTATGGGCTCAACAAACGTATGTCCCCGGCAGAAAGAAAGTAATTATTTTTAATCTGAATGTAATAAAATATTGAGAATCGGACTGCTAAATACGGCAGCTTCTGCAGCTACTGTGAACATATTTAAAAAAAAAAATTAGGTAAGTTCCTAATGGAACTCGGCATAACCATGGACATAGCAGAAAACTGTTTGGCTTCCTTCCATTCTTAAATGTAAATGACTAAGAATTTCAGTTGATGTTTGCAGACATTACAGTCAACTGTTCTGTGTTACTCTTTGATTATTTATAAAACGCTGGCAGTGTGCTAGCTAGTGCACCATACATGGAACCAAAGAAGATGTTGTCTGTGTCCCAAGCAGCTGTTGATCTTTATAGTTTTGACAGAGCATTCTGAAAAAGTGGTTTCAGGTAGCTTGCATAGGCCTGGCTCACCTGTGGAAGAGGGAGAATATAGGAAGGTATCAGCAGTGACTAAGGAGGAACAATTTCTAAATAACTCCGAATGATCTTTGAAGTGTAATTTTTTAAAAATATGCTACAGTAGTGTATAATGCCTCCCAACCTGGTACCTGGGATCCCCCTACATTGCTAATATGCAGCGCTGCTCAGCCAAATGAGGATGCAAAGCATTTAATTTCAGAAAGCACATTTTTTAACTTGAATATTCACCAAAGGCAAACTTCAAATTGTGCATTCGTTTGTAAAATTGGCTAGTGGTGCTTGGTTTGCTGGGAAAAGTACTAAGGTAAAATCTTGTTTAAGTAGGTGAGCTGTGTTTTTAAATTAAGCAAGAAAACGCAATGTAGCATGAATAGTGATGTTAATTCACCTTTAATGTGATGTTAGAAATGAAGGCAGTGTGCTGAGAATACAGTGTGTGAGTGGGGGAAGGGGGAGGTTACCTTGTTTAAAACTTATACCCCCTACTGCTTAAGCATACTATAAGAAGAACATACACCTCTACCTCGATATAACGCGACCCGATATAACACAAATTCAGATATAACGCAGTAAAGCAGAGTTCCGGGGGGGCGGGGCTGTGCGCTGCAGCGGATCAAAGCAAGTTCGATATAACGCGGTTTCACCTATAACGCGGTAAGATTTTTTGACTCCCGAGGACAGCGTTATATCGGGGTAGAGGTGTACTTATTGATAAGTAGTGATAAAAGTACCTGTGAATATGCAGCCTGTTAATGCAGAGTATGTAACTATCCTATCTTTCCATGGTGTTAAATTGTACATATATAGGTTTTGTGCATGTTGTTTGCCTTTTCATGGTGGTAGTTCAGAGCTATAAATAAATAAAAAAAAAATGTTCCAGACAGAGGGCTGGACAGCTCTGGCTACTGTAATAGGTGATAGAGCCCCGGACCTCTAGATTGCCTGTTCAGATCCGGTCCTGGTCACTAATGACTGAAAGACAATCTGATGGGTTTCAGGGTGGTCTTGTTGCAGCAGGGCTCATGACAAGACACCCTTTTAAATGGTACTAGTAGGCCTCTGCTGAACCGGCCAAGGAATGAAAGGGCCTGAGCAAACCCTGTCCCCACTTACAGGGCATTCTCTTCAGAAAAGGGCAGTGGCAGACTGGCACAGTAGTATGGAGAATCATGCAGTGGTGCTACTATGCTGTACCTGTTCTGTGGTTAAACTGGATCTCAGGCTCCAGCAGTGTGAGGCCAGTGCCTTCTGCGAACATTGAATTCACTGAACAAACAGGTCTAAACTTCTAAGGTTCCGATTACCGCACCAGAACCAAACCATGCTTCTTACTGGTGGTTCTGCGCATGGAACAAGGGCAGACGTGGTTCTGATGTCCTGCTCGAGCAGCTCTCTATGGACGGACGTGTGGCTGTGCAGTGCCCCACTGATGTCAGTCAAGATCCATCCACATGGAATTGATTGCTCGAGCAGGGCCTCAGTCATTAAACTCTCAGATTCTGAGCCATGCATGTAATTGGCACAATTCAATACTCCATTCCAAGGAACACGTGATTTTTACCTTCTGGCCTCAAAATTCCAACCTGTCAGTCCACTTGCTTTCTCCCGGCTGTTTTCCATTCTTCAGCCTTGAATGTTCTATGTCAAAATAATGTGTGCCTAGGCTAATGTGTAGGTGCCGGTAGTTTGTAGCTGTGACGCAGTAGGGAGTGGGGCGGATTGACCTGGGAATGTCGTCTAGTTTTACTGGGACTGTCTGCATGGGGGATGGGAGAGCAGGGGATGACTTTATTTGAGGGACGATACCTGAGCCAGGAGAGGGGTGGGGCCAGGTGACACCTTTGCCGGGGAACTGGACAAAGGTGAGAGGAGGAGCCGGGGGGGAGAGGAGGGAGTTGGCTGGAGGGGTTTCTTAAAGTTTTGAGCTGGTGGGGAAGACACAGGGAACCCCAAGTTGGGAGTCTTAGCTCCTTGCCCCCCGCAGAGGAACCTGGCTGAGGGGTCCTGGTTGTACCTACAAGCCCTGCTTGGGACTGTGTTCCTGTTGTCTAATAAACCTTCTGTGTTACCGTCTGGCTGAGAGTCCCGGTGAATCGCAGGAAATGAGGGTGCAGGGCCCTGACTCCCCCACACTCCGTGACAGTAGCCCACTGTCCTTACCTGTTGGTTGGTTGGTGACTTTTGAGCCCACTCATAAAGCCGTTGGTAGACATGTCCGTCGTAACTGCCAAGCGCAGAATTTAAACTTTCATCGGTGAAGTCGAAAGCATCCACTAGTGGCACTGCATCGTTCCTAGAGAAGCAAATGGACCGCACTCACTGCAGGGTTAATGAAATCCTTACCACTTTGCTGGGGCCGAATGGGGGAAAACATAATTTCATATTTGCCGTTGGGTATTTACTGTAGTGTGAAGAAACCTGGTGATTTAGGAACTAATGTTCCTGGTTTTTGAGAGAGATTATTGGCCAATATTCCTTACTTTGTGAGAGGCAGATTGCCCAATGTGCCGAGCCTTCTCTTCTCCCGTTGGGGTCAATGGCAGTTGAAGGTGCTTGGCACCTCTGTGGATTGGTCCCTGACTCAGGATTGAATCTTATGTGATGCACTTAATCAGCAGGCCCTGCAGCTTGTCTTAAAGTGGGCTGATGGGCTTAAGTGGTTTCTAGGCTTGTGCTGGCCCTCGGCACAGGGGTATCTTTTCACTTCTAGATGGTATTTCACATGGCAGTCGCATCCTGCTATCCCACCATCAAAAGCAGTGACACTTGTCATTTGAATGAAATGCAAATCTTAATCATTGTATTAGAAAGTCACTGCTTGATGCTACTGCCACTGGTAAAATCGTTATCTAAGAGATTTAATCGTAGAAAGCTTTTAAACAGCATTACTAATTAGAAAAAAATAAAGTTTGATAGAGGATTTATTTTTTAAAATAACTAAATAAATGACACTGTTTATTTCCCTCACAAAAATGATGAAGTTCTGGTTTTAATGCCTTTGAAAAATAAATGGAGGAAATTGAAGTGGAATTACAATAATATGCCTCCAAATTATATTTACTTGTTAGAAAAGCTCCTTAAAAAGCCAGGATCTCAACAAGCGATGGATAATGTCATCATATAAACAATGGGTCAAATACCATGTTGGTTTTAAAATGTTCATAAATCTACACGTGTTAGGGCTTCCTCAGGACAGCAGAGCTTGCAGTATATTGAGATAAACGTAATTCATTACAGGCCAATGGCTCATCTAGTCCAGTATCCTATCTCTGGCCCCGATTCAGAAAAGCATTTAAGCAAATGCTTGACTTCAAGCACCTGAGTAGTCACCAGTGATGAGGTGTTTAAATACTTTGCTGAATCTTGGCCTCTGACAATAGCCAGTACCAGCTGCATGAAATGCTGTAGTAGGTAGTTCTGAAATAACCTGTGACACTACGTCCCCATATTTTTCATAGAGATATTATGAAGTGATTATGACATAACTAAGA